ATATATATATATATATATATATATATATATATATATATATATATATATATATATATATATATATATATATATATATATATATATATATATATATATATATATATATATATATATATTGCTATCATGGTTTCTAAAGTGATCACTTGCACACACAGCAAACAGTATGATTTAAAAAATTTGCATAAAATGTGCATATGCTCAAGTATATAGACAGATGCAAATAGAGACATACGGTAATTACGGTAACTTAAACATTTAGTGTATCACACCATATATGAGCATATGACTTGAATGGCCTGGTGAGAATGCTGTCTAAGTGCTTACACATTTTTGAACTAACATGGATTACTACCAATGGGGAAGATGCCTAAAAATGCTATTGATAGAATTTGCAATAGAGGAGATTCATCTATGAAGGTCAGGCAATATCATAATAGCTTCCTTCAAAGAGTCTTCTGGTGCACTGTAGTCTGGTAATCATTCCACCTTACAGGAGTGGACAATCTGAAGCCCTTTTTGATGTCTCTTTAAGCCCTTTCTGACTACAGTTGGTGAAATCAAAGGGTCCTGCTATTTTGTGACAACTGCCACAAAAACCCTGAAATATATCAGTTTATTAAAAGGGGAAATTGTCAAAACTCCTTACTAAACCTATCAATAGCAAGAGGAGTCATGTGGCACCATGTTTTTTGCAGCCACCATCCTCACCCCACCCCACCCCACCCTAGTGATCAGCACTTAGAAAGCTCTGTCATCACAGTTGCCAGGATTCCATGGGAAAAGGAAATGATAATGATAACGATAACGATGACGATGACAATGACAATGACAATGACAATGACAATGACAATGATAATGATAATGATAATGATAATGATAATGATAATAATAAAGTTGGAAGGGACCTTGGAGGTCATCATTTTGGACAAATATAGAGTATAGCCTAGGACATGGGTGTCAAATTTGCCACACCATGTGATGTGTCGCAACATATCGTGACTTTTTTTGCATTGCTGGAGCTGGGGTGGGCGCGGCCTCCATATGATGCAACTGGCCAGGGGGGGCAGCAGTTTGACACCTCTGGCCTAGGAGGTTTGACTCTGTTAGAAGAAAGCTACAAACTAATTTCAAATAGTTGTTGAGTTCGGCAGAATTTTCACCCTGGTAGTACTGAATTTAGCATGTTACATTTATTTTTATGAAGACAACTAAAAGAAAGGAAATTTGGGAAAGGGATGATAGGAATATAGTCAATTAGTTCCTTTTGCTAATGAAATTTGCTCCAGAGTGATGCATCAGAACAAATCTGGGGCAAGGCTGGAAGTGTTAGGCTATGTATGCAAGTATACTCTGGTGTGAAATTGGATTTTGCTTCAGGTATGTTCTAATGGATACATTTACACATGATTATCTTATTTCCATTAATACTGAAATATTAACTTGGAAAGATCATTCAAACTCATTAGTTTTAACCAAAAATGGCATCCATGCAAAAAGAGCACTCCCACAGAGGGAAACTCTTAAGCCACTATATGACGCTATCCCAGATTCTGATCAAGTAACTAAGTATACCTTCCATCCTTTGGTTGTTTCCACTCCATTGTATTCTGGGTGTGAACCTCCACTTGTCGTGCTTGAGGCCTAGAAAGAGAGAGCAAAGAATATCATATTTGAACAGGAAGAACCAGAGAGAAGACCTGAAACCAGAAAGCTAATAATCTGAATAAAAGCTTGTCAATTAAATATATTGAAGCTTGCAAACTAGTAGAATGTATAGTGCAGACATCTAAGCTCTACAGAGGTCTGTGGGCATTCCCATAACATTAAGCTGATATTAGTTTAGTAAACTATATGGGAGACGGAATAATTTCTTCCATGCATTTTATTTGTATGCAGAGGGATACAGTAGATGGATAGATAATTAATCAGTAGCTAGTAATTTAAGCTTAATTACAGTTCTTTATGCCAGAAGAATTTCTCAAGGAGTTTCTACTCCTATCTAATTGGATTTACTCTAACCTAGTAATCTATCAAGTAATTAAACCTAACCCCGAGACCTATGCTTCAAGCTAAGCAATGACTGTGGTTTGCATTAGTCTGCCACTTACAAGTCTACCCCAGCTGCTTCAAGACAGGAAAGATCCAGGCTCTTGTGCTTAGAAACTTAACAATTTTGATTAAATTACTCCATCAGAAGTGAAAATAAATGTTGATTTGATCAGCTTTGAGTGGGACACCTGCTTTGCCACTTCCTGTTTTTGTTCCCGACTGACATCTCGATAATATTTTTTCCCTAGGACTCTAATATGACTTACAATTCTGTGGCCTGTAGGATTCTCCAGCACAAAACGCTGCACTCTCTTCTGCCTTTGTTGATACAGTCTCGATCCCCTGTTTATGGACAGGGACAACTCCTCCATCATCAGATCTTGAGGAGTGCTAACCTTCTTTCCCAAGTCTAATTCTGGAGCTGAAGACACAAATAAATATATATATATTCAGAATAGAATAGAATAGAATAGAATAGAATAGAATAGAATAGAATAGAATAGAATAGAATAGAACCTTAGAGGTCTTCTAGTCCACTCCCCCTGCTCAAGCAGGAGAACCTATACCATCTCAGATAAGTCTCTTCTTAAAAACCTCCAGTGATGGATCACCTGTGATTTCTGGAGGCAGGCTGTTCCACTGGTTAATTGTCCTCACTGTTAGGAAGTTCCTCCTTAATTCCAGACTGATTCTCTCTTTGATCAGTTTCCAACTGATGCTTTGGAGAATAGTTTGACCCCCTCTTCTTTGTGGCAGCCCTTCAAATACTGGAATGCTGCTATCATGTCACCCCTATTTCTTATTTTCTAATATGGATGCATTTGTTTCACCCTTTGCCATTCTCTGCACATTTAATCAAAAAGACTGTAATCAAGAATGCTTACTGGATTACAGTCTGTATAGGAATTAGCCCTACTATAACTAGGGATGGAAGTTTTTGCAACAAGAAACATTCAGCATAATTCTCTGCACGTTTTCCTTGGTGTTCACTGGATGTTTGTTCCCTAGAAGGATCCTTGTTTTTTGTAGCTGAGGATGTGATCAACTTAAAAATAACAACAACACATGGGCACATCTCTGTCCAGACGAACAAGAACAAATATTCCTTAAGGCTCTCCTAGCAATAGGCTTTGCACAATACAGGTAGTCTTCGACTTACAACAATTCATTTAGTGACTATTCA